CTCTTCTTGGAAGAACCGTGTTGACAACCCAAACGGGAAAATAACTAAAAAGTACGCCTACCAATACTATCTTCGCGTGCTGGAGCCTACATGTCTGCGATGTAGGTTATCCTCTCCTTAGGGGGAGGTTATGCAGCTTTTCCCTCCGTGGTTGAATTATATTGTTGGCTAATTTTTGACTATTATCCTTAGCAATAGTTAGTACACTCTTTGGTAGAGTAATAATTCATTAAAACGTCTTTAGGCTACTAACGCAAAGCTGTCGAAAAAACACAACCTCGCATTTACTGCGACTGGTTTTCATTAAGTCTTCCAGGTAGCTATGGTCGAAGGTTGCTTTTTGGGTGGCATGCGAATGTAGGATTTTATCTGCTACAGGTTTTGTCACCCTCTACTATTCGGAGGTCTCGTGGATGATGTTTCAGTAAGTTCTCTGCATTGAAAAAAAAATTAACCCCATTATGGCAAGATATAATAAAAATCGGATGTGATACCTAGACTCCCTTATAACAATACTGAATATAAAGTTACACGAAAGGTTAACTATCTTTCAACTTTTTTATTGGGTTTCCATTAGAAAATTGTAATTTTGGTACCTTTCCGCGGTATGCTCTAGGCTCAAGGTTGCACTTTACTTGAAAAGTTACATGAGGTATAAAACTAAATCCTCGTATTTAAAGGTATGCTTTCGGTAAAACTATTATTTCTAAAATGGCACTATCACTGCTAGTGGCTATAAAGGCAAATATGTATACCCAAGGTAAAAATAAATGTATAAATAACTTATTAAACAAATTATATATATATCACAGTAAGCAGGCTGCCCCTCGTTCCACGCAGAAAAGCACAAGAGCAGAAAAATTAAATTTCCCCCTACGAGGGCGCCCGATTTCTATTTATATCCGCCAAAAGAAACCGGACGTCTTTGCTCAGCTTCTCCCATCCCAATGGCCGCCCTTAATAATCCCTTCAGGTAGGACAACTACCCTCGCACAACTCTTATCCTCCTCTAGTGTAAGCAAGCACCGCCAAAGGAAACACAAATTTCGAAGAACTACAATCAATTTCTAAAACCTTCTCACTAAAAAGTCACCAAGGCCTGAGGACATAACAAACCTCATGTTACAAAAAAAAAAATTTACCGGAGTTCAGCCGAAAAACTGTTACTTTTTCACTGTTTCCGGATCGTTGGGAAGTGACAACTGTTATTTTTTCATTAAAATTAAATAACCCTTCCTCAAACCCTACGGACTATCTCCCTGTAGGTCTACTACCCTGTGCTAACAAAGTAGCAGAGACAGTTATACTTAAACGATTACAGAAATAGGTAGAGCAAAACCATAACATCACTGAAAACCAATTTGGGTTCAGAAGGGGCCATCCAACTACGCACCAATTCTTGAGGTCCACCGAGCAAATGAAAAAAGGATTTAACAACAACATTTCCAGTTGTGCTGTTCTCAGATGTTAGTATAGCTTTCGATTGAGTATGGCATGCAAGTCTCATTAACTAAAATGATCAGCCTAAGTATGGCAGATCACCTCCTTTCCCTTATTAAAATATTTCTGCACCGTTTTTTACTAAATTTGGAAAGACCTGCTTAAGTTTAAAGGAACTCAGGGGAGGCGTACCACAAGGTTCCTTTCTTTTACCCACTCTCTTTTCGATATATAGGGCGGACATACCCAAGCTGACCAACATTTCAACATTTTTTTCACAATTTTCTGGTGACACAACAATCTTGGTCATTTCCAAGTCAGTTAGCAATAGAAAATGTGCAAGCATACATTGAGTTGGTTCGCCCAGTGGCATCTTACTACTAACCCTTTAAGAGCGCAGCCATAATTATTACTAAAAGATGTGAAAGACTAAATGTTTAACCACTTGTCATTAATGGTACGCCAGCCCCCTCCCTCTCCAACATAAACCATCTTCACGTCATCATAGGCAACAGGCTCTCTTAGCGCAACCATATTCAACATTACGAAAAAACGCTAAACTAAACCAAACTATACCCATTTATCTGCCAGGAAAGTCACCTCTTCAAACACAACAACTTCAACTTTATCTCGTCACTATCAGACCAAAGATGACCTACGCATCTGTAGCGTGATCATATAGCCCTCCTGCCGCTATATCGGTCAATTTAGGTTATCAAAACTCTATACTGAGAACTAGTTTAGCTGTGTCATGGTTTGTTCCAAGCTTCATTCTTCATCGCGACTGAAATATTGAAACCCTACCACAGCACAGTTATTTAAACTTGCAGCCAAAGAAAATTAAAAAAGTTTTTAGCTCATTGTAATCCATTATAAATTTAAGAGGTAAGTTACGATAGAAGTTTATACAAGAAATCCAGGAGACTTCGACACCAACTTGATTGCGCCTGATGCTCTTGTGACCATCTAATTAACCTGACTGTCCTATCGTCCGATGTTGCACCGAACAAAATTAGATTAAGCAGTATTTTAGGCCTTATAGAAGGAGAAGCGTGGCTGTGTCATGTCAGAGTTATAAGTAAACCGTTCTAGACGCAGGTGCCAACAAAACCTCCATGGTTGCTTTACGATTACTAAGCTCTTAGCACATGGCTTAGGCACTAGTGTTTAAAACTGTTCGTTTTACAGCACATTCATAAATAACTAAATTTCTTGAAGCTGTAAAATTAATTCGTTAATTTAGTCTTCAATTACATTTTCTTATTTTAGCGGTTATTTATAAGTGTTATAATAATATTATTATTATATTATTTCTTAGTTATTTCGATATTAAAAACTATTAATATTCCGTACTATAGTTAAGTAATTTCTTCTCTATTGTGGATTCTATTAGTAATAATATAGAAATAAATGGTGCGAAATGCAACCAAAAAGTAATTTTATAATTTTCAACGATATTTTTCATTGTTATTAAGTATATATAGTTTTTTTAATAAAATTTTTGTTTTAAGTTAAGGTTAATTGCCTACCTACTTCTTTTGTATTATTGTTATTAAAGCTGTAGGTTAGAATTTAGAAATAAGTTATACGCTATAAGCAAAAGTATTTTGCGTAAAAAATAAAAAATTAAAAAAGATTTTGAAAAAGCATATACATTTACTGACTTATTTTTATTTTTTATTTTTTATTTTTCATATTTTTTTATTCTAATAAATATGTTAGATTTTGAAAAAGCGTATTTATTGACTTAAATTTTTATTTTTATTTTAATATGTTAACAGTATTAAACTTTAACAATCTTATCAACTTATTTTAATAATTTTTTTTTTCTATTTTATATTTTTAAATTTTTTAAGATTTTTATTTAAGTTTGTTTTTTAATATAACCTAAATATAGAACATTTATATAACTTTATTAAACTATTCGTGGGTCGAATACTTTTTATATTTGTAATTATATCTCTTAACTATAAAATCTTCAATTTTCATCTTAAATAGTTTGCTTTATTAGTTGATTTTTAAGAAAATATAAATTATATTTTTTTAAGTCATAATTGCTTATAGTTAACAATAATTATTACATCACTTTTTTAAAGTTAAAATAATAAAGTTTTTTAAAATGTAGAATATGTTAATATTATTTAAACATTAAAAAAGAAACCTATTTTTTTTTTTTTTAAAAAATACACTAATTCGTATGTTATGTTTCTGACAAATTTCCTGCTTCCTGTTTTTTGTATACTTTTAAATTTATAATTATTTAGTTTTACAATGAGATTAGTTTTTTTATTAATATTATTTATTAAGAACTAATAAAATTAATAAACAATTATTATAGTTATACAAAATTATTATAATTAATTATAGTAGCGTGATTGGTTTTAATATTATAGCTCGGCTAAAGATTTTGTCTTATCATTTTGTTTTTGTTTTTTTAATTTGTTAAACATTTATTCATAATTTATTTTATATTAAATTTTCTGTGTTAATTTATTTTTTTGAAATTTTTAATTAATAATTTAAATGCAGTGTCACTTTTTTATCACATGTTTTCAGTTATCAATTTAATAAAAAAAATTTATAAAATTTTTTATAACTTTTATAATAGAAGCCATCCTTCTTCTACTTACTTTGTTATTCTTTATTCTTATAAACTTATATAATTATGGTAAGGATTTTTCCTTTAATATATTTAAATTTAGTTAATTTATATATTTTTCTAAAGATGTTATCGATAAAAAATTATTTGTTATTTTTGAAGAAAAAATAAATTATGCTTCAAATAAATATGATGGTATTTATTTATTTACTGTTATACTTATCATACTTAAATTTATTATTACTCACTTTTTCTGTTTATATAAATTTGTAGAACAAAATCTTTTAGTTATTTTTAATTATTTTGTAATTTTAAAAAACTTTTTATTTTGAAATAAGCGAATTTTAGTAACGGGCGCTGCCGGGTTTATAGGCATGCACGTTGCGTTGGCTTTAAAAAAAAGAGCACATTTCGTTTGTTATTCTTATTTTAATTTTTTACAAAAAAATTTTAATTTTTAATTTTGATTTAATTTATCAATTAAAGACGGCCTCGACAACTTTAACTCGTATTATTTACGAACACTTAAACTCCGCCGCTCGTACGAACTCTACAAAAATAACGTTTCTGTACTTTACATGGACGTGTGCAACGAAAGAGCACTGGAAAAACTTTTCCTTCTGCACAACTTCACCCACGTGGTTCATCTGGCTGCTCAGGCAGGTACCGTTTATGTTATTTGGTATGGTTTAGACAAAAATTGTTTTTTTTGGTTGTTTTGTTAATTGTTTTATTATTATTTCTATTACTATTACTATTACTATTACTATTACTATTATTATTATTATTATTATTATTATTATTATTATTATTATTATTATTATTATTATTATTATTATTATTATTATTATTATTATTATTATTATTATTATTATTATTTAGGAGTTCGTTACTCTCGTCTCAACCCGAAAGCCTACGCCACAACGAACATTGTTTGTTTTATCAACTTATTGGAAACCATAAGGAAAGTGAATAAAGATATTAACGTTGTATATGCGTCTTCTTCTTCGGTTTACGGAAGAAACAAAAAAGTATTATATTATTATTATTATTATTATTATTATTATTATTATTATTATTATTATTATTATTATTATTATTATTATTATTATTATTATTATTATTATTATTATTATTATTATTATTATTATTATAATCAATTATAAGGTTCCATTTAAGGAGAAGGACGAAATAAACTTACCATCAAGTATGTATGCCGTTTCGAAAAAAGTTGGAGAAGATATTGCGAGTGTTTATCATTATTTATATAACATCCATTTTACTGGTTAGTATTGTAAATTTTTTTATGTATTAATAAAAAAATATTTATTTAAAAAAAAATAATAAAATAATAATAAAATTTTAATAAAGGTCTTCGCTTTTTTACTGTATATGGTCCATGGGGCAGGCCGGATATGGCTGTATATAAATTTATAGAGAATATGTACTTTACTTAATATTATTATTATTATTATTATTGCTATAATTATTATCATTATTGCTATTATTATTATCATTATTTCTATAAAGTATAGGTAACAAACCAATCACCGTTTATTCTAAGGGCACGTTGAAGCGGGATTTTACTTACATAGATGATATTGTTAGCGGAGTTATAGCAGCCATTAATAAGGGTTCCAAGTTTGACATATTTAACCTTGGAAAAGGTTATTATTATTATTATTATTATTATTATTATTATTATTATTATTATTATTATTATTATTATTATTATTACTTAAACTATTATTTTTAGGGCATCCCGAAAGCGTTAATGATTTAGTTAGTATTATCGAAAAAGAAACTTGCAAGAAGGCAACTTTACTTATTTATAGTTTATATATAATTTTTTTTACTTTTCATTATAAGGCTATTATTAATTATAAAAGTTTTCGCATGGAAGACGTTCAGCAAACTTTTGCCGAAATTTCGCATACGTATAGGCAGCTTGGCTTTAAACCTTCTACTAACTTAACGATTGTATTATTTATTTATTTATTTATTATTATTATTATTATGATTATTTATTAGGGCTTAAAGCGCACCGTTGATTGGTACAAAAACTACACAGCCTCTCGGTTCGATTTTTACGCAACCGACTCGAAGTTTCTTAAATCGCTCCAAATTTCTCAAAGTCAATTGGCTGAATTATTAAAGCAAACTTCGGAAGAATATTAGCTATGTAGTTTTGCTTATATTTTCTTTGTTATCCAATCTTTTCGTGTGTTATTAAAAATACATATATTACTTTTTTCCATAAAAAATTTTATTAGAAAAATTATTTGTTGCTTTGCCCTATTTGATTCCCTTATTTCGGAAATTTTTTAAAAATTTAGTTATAGCTAGTCCACTTTTGAGTCATTGTTGGATTTAAAATTTTATACTATAGCAAAAGTTAAAAATTTAAGTCTACAGAATTATTAGCTTATACAAGTCTAACAACCATCCCACTTTTTAAAGCTAGTACCTTTTTAACGGAGGCTTGCATTTGTCCTTCACCGTCCACATTTGTTATACTTAAAAATAAATTAATACCCTATAGCTTTTTTACTGCTTCTTGGCGTAGTAGTCTTTCAAAAAAGATAAGGAAAGAATTAACGTTAAAAAGATGAAGTTGGTAGTAGGAAACTAGAAAATAACTTTTAACCAATTTTACTCGTTAGAATTCCATAAAAACCAAAGTTAGCGAATTCGCTACAAATTATTTTTATTTTTATATTAAAAATGACTTAATTTAAGTTTATTTTAAATTTAACTATGAGGTAGAGCAGTAGAAGCCTTTGTTATAACAAATTCAATGTCTTCGGTTTGCTCTATATAGCTTAAGAAACAAACCCGGTTCACTTTTTTAGCCCATTTCGTGGAATTAATTCTAAAGATTTACGTCGCCCCATGCAAGCAAGCTCGGTTTAATATATCAATATCTGTATTAAAATAAAGATCACATAATTTCAGCTTGCTACTAAGATTACTAAACTTAATCTATTAATAGTATTAAATAAAAATTAAGAAAGACATTGTTTTTCTACTACTTAAGAATTTTTTAAGCAAACGCATAAGAAAAAAAAAAGTTACAATTTCATTATGACTTTTGGACCTCCCTGTGACTTTTAAAGCTTTTGTGGGGAGCTTTTTTAAGCAGAATGTACTTATGCTTTGTTACTTAGACTATTGCTGTTAAATTCACGAACAAGTATCTGCTTCTTTAAAAGTGATAATAGTTCTAGGTGCACTTTTAAGTTAGAAAAGCAGGTATGAATAGATGCAAGGAAACTAACTGCCCTTACTAAATATTAAGCTGTGTGCCGTTTCTGCAAACAAAGTAGAAAGCTTATTAGCCATAATAATGACACTAGACGTTCAAGTACATATTGTCTACTATAAAATATTTGTTATAAAAATGTTTGAGTACTACTTGCTCTTTATAAAGCAGAAGAGTATCCCCGAGAACAAGAGAATAAGAGCATACATTTGCTAGAAAAGTAACTTGGGTATTATTGCTACCCAAGCTCAAGTAATTACTGCAAGTACAATTACCAAAAAAAATAGTTACTTTTAAATAGTTAGCTTGTACACACATAGAGCTATTTTTCACCTACCTGTAACCCTTTACAATAAGTTTCTGTATTTACACTCTAAATTCTTCATTTAATAACTCTCAAACGAGTTATATCGTATGTGTCCAGTACGAAGTTAGTTAAAGACGAAACATAGACGCAGAGCTAATTATTTTCGTAATTATTAAAAAACTGCTTTAGCACACGCCAATCGTTGTGAGTAGAACATACATTTTACTATTATTTTCCCTATTGGGACGTCTACAAAAAGCAAGGTACAAATCAGGAGTACACTCGTAAAATATAAGATTTTGCAAGAGTTTTAAAAAGGTAGGTAAACTCTCTTTTACCTCGTAGATACAACAAAAATAGTGAAAAATAAAACCTTAATTTTTTATTATTGTAATATTAACTATTATTAATAGTTACAATTACTATTTGCGAGATTTTGTTAATTATCTAAATATTACTATTTTAAATCTGTAATCTTTATGATTGTTACTACTATAATATACCAAAATTAATATTACTGATGCTTAGAAAATATAATATTATAGTTTTAACAAATGTATCAGTATTCTAACAATGTTGTTTTTGGAAGCCGGTCGACTATATTTCGAAATTATGGTTCATAAGTATCTATAAAAATTCATTATTGCGCTCTTCACATACTTTTATATCCTTAGCTATGCGCTTAACTCATACATAATCGATTCTTAACTTAGTTAATCTTAGAAGCTAAAGGTTATCTTTAGTAGTTCAATTTAACGGTCTAATTATGGCTTCTATATTAATTTGATATCAGGCACCATTTATGTCGTACTTTGTTTGTCTACCCGGAATAGCTAAATGTGTGTCTTTTTCCAAATATAATTATTTATCTGTTATGACTGTCGTATTTGTGTTGAATACTTCAGAAAGGGAAAGCTAAAATAGATATAAATTTTTTATTATCCACTTGTTATCTCATTTTATGAAAAGCATAGCATGACTCTTCTATGGATCCACAGTTACTTTCCTCTTTGCATAGCAGAACGTTATATTATTTAATATATTTGAGTATATTTCATTGCAAGGATGTGGTGACTTTGAGCTACTCTAGCGCTATCGGCTTACGATGTAGGGAAAATAAAGTCAGCTCCGTACAACTAGAGTAAAAAAAGGGTAAAGGGATTTTTTTTGGTCTTAAAAGAATAAATATGTCTGCCCTTTTTTAGAAGTATATACGCATGCGCCCCAAGCACAGTTACTTTGCGACAACACGTGTCACCTGCTGCAATAGTAACCTTGCTTACTTCTCAGCTTGGACAGGAAGTCCTTCTCGCCAACTTGCAATATATATTATGTGGATTTAGGAGGACAAAAATTTATATAGAAAGGGATATGTTTGACTTCCCACCAATCAGAAGCCTAAAAATAGGCTATGAAGTGATCGAGTGCCGACAGGTGGGAAGTGTTAAAAAAAGAAAATCAACGTTAATATTACTAGAAGGGCAACTCAAATTAAAAACAAAAAAATAATTTCCAAGTTAAATATAAATACACAATAATGGATAAATTTTTAATAAATATAACAATAATATTTATAATATTGGAGCATAACCACACATTAATTACCCCTTCTTTTTTATTTAAAATTATATTTATTATTTGATAATTATGGTCACTAGGAACACAATATCAATCGTACACCAAAAGAAAGGGAGGATATAAAAAAGGAAGCAGTCAGTGCATGACCCGCTTTTAAAGCACGTGCAACCTGCCCAAGTTTTATAATAAAAGATTTTTTTCACTGGTTAAATTTCAGATTATTGATTAATTCAATTACATTCCATGGAATTCATAGTAAAGATCAAGAACCTTTGTGTCTGTTTTTTAGTTTTTAGTTTATAATATCTTGTCTATTACGTTTTACAAATGTCAGTTAATGTTTATATATATCAATTATTTTTTTATTGTCTATTTAGTAAAATATTGCAGATTTGGTTTTAAATATGAAACTGTTGTAATATTACTAGAATTAAAAGATTTGGTTTTGGCGTATTTATGGTTTCTATAAGTATTATGAGCCTGTCGTTAACTTCATTATCACTCATTGGTCTATTAACTCACACAAGAATCGTATTTTTTTACTCTACTAGGCCTACAAACCTCATGACTGCCAAAGACCAAAGTGAATTTTTGCTCTACTGCTATAGTTAAAACTCTATAAGTGATAATTCGTTTATATTTCCAGTTTATTAACTAATTTAAGGAAAAAAGACGCTTAGTCACTACCTAATAAAAAAAGTTTTTAGATCATTAACTATCACCTTTTTTCCACTCTGCCCTTTATTCGTTTATTAACGCCAAACCTTGGTGGCGAAAATGGGAAATGTTAATTTTTAAATCTTATATGGCTTTATCATATCACTTGAAACTTACCAGGAGTTGGCTAGTAAGATAGATCTGAATTTTTTAATGAGAAAAATCCCCTCAAACGATTATATTGGCATAACGGCAACATTGCCTCATTTACATGAATATCATTATATATTCACATTTTGTTCTGGTTATTACTTTTTTTTACAATTTTTATCTAATCTATGTTTCATAGATCCTACGCAGGGGAATGTTTAGATAATAAATGAATTAAGATACAGAGTTTATTAATTAGCTAACCTCCATTTGCTTTTCAAACAAAATAATCTGAAGATTTTAAAAACTTTTTCCGTCTCCGACTTCTAGTTTTGGAGTTAAAGGGAACTTAAACGTCCTTGAAATAGCCGTTTTAAATGGGCATTTCCAATCAACATCGGTTGTTGAGCTGGATGATCTCTCCAGGGATCAGTTGTTAGTTAATTGGAGCTAAGAAAAGGCA